TATCTCCAATTATCCTCCAATACATGTAAAGATTTTTTTGTAAAGCCACCAAATCAGTGGTGGTTAGGAAAGGCTAATAAATGCCATTTCTCAGAGAAATTCCCGTTCAGTCAGAGGCCCTGACACCAACTGTAGTAGTTCCTAAGCCTGGCTTTATGGCATCTTGATTATCTCCAGTGAAAGGAATATCTAAATTTTTCCCTTAAGCAAATTCATTTTGAAGTAAATCAGAACCAGTAGTCACAGAGTGATGCAATTCCAGAACTATTCCAAGCTGAGATGGACTGAGCCAAGAAGCAGGACCTAGATGAGGACCTGGTGTGCTGCCAGCTCTGCCTGACAGTCATGGCTGGGTTCTCCATTAATCTCATATTTCTCTCCTTTTTTGGTTTTCCCAAAAGTATTCCTTTTTTCCCTATTACAAAATGGATGAACAAAGAGCCATTGTAGTGAGTAGGTTAATGGAAAGGTCATTAACAAAACCATTTCTTAACTAATTTCCTCTTATACTGTATCCTGATTACTCAGGAAGAAATGAAGCTGAGAAAAAGACTGGTGAAAGGAAATTCCAAAACTAGCCTGCCAGCTTATCTGCTGCCTACTCGCTGCAGAACTAGCCTAAGCAATCAAGTGAGCCTTAGCACTTGGGCTTGTCCTGAAATGAGGCCAACTAACTTTCTAGTTCTAAGCTGAATGCACAAAATTGTTATCCTCCCTTCCTGCCCATGGAGAGAAACCACCACAAACTCCAGCAGTTAGAAGCAGATCAATTGCTGGTTCAAGTCCACCTTTATACTCACATGTTCGTGCCTGCAGTGGAACTCAAAAATTTAATACACTACTAGTTCCAAGCATTAATATTGTTAGTAGGCTATTTCCGATTTAAGTTCATTTTGGAATGTGATGTGTCATAATCTAGAAAGACAGTATTTATGGAAGTTTGATTCTTCCGAATTTCTGATTTTCCTTCCTTGTTACATTCCAGAGTTTTACTTGGGCCTACCTCTGTCTGCACACAGGCAGCTTTTGTAGAAGCAGCTTACCCCTGGGAATTGAAGTAGTACCCTTCTACTGGGACACACACTTCATAGGAGCTTGGCAATCATTTCTGAATCCTTGTATTCCGGACTTGGTTTCTGGGTCCTTTCTGATTTGCCCAATAATATATTTACATTCATGTTAGCACTTGCTTCTTCCATGTTACAAAGAAAAGGAATCTCAAATCCTGTTCTGATTAATTGTTCTAGGATTCCTACAAAAAAGCATCAGTTGGGAATCCTTATGCCTAGAAGCCTGTTGCTATTCCTGCCACATACTTTCTTGTTAATGGTAAAGTTTGGCATTGGGACCACATTGAGTGTTTTGTATTCAGGTATATGGTGAATTGTTGAGGAAAGAGTAATCACTGCAATATTGGCAAGAAGTTGTGAATATAGTAAGGTATTCTGGGAGATCAAAGGACAGCCAAGGCAGTCTAGGGTTGTTAACCTTCAGAAGCAGCGAGACAGTAAACAGCTTGCCCAGGGTCACAAAGTGGGCGGTCTTGGCATGTGAACTCATGTAGTCTGGATACATGGTTAATGTTCTCAGCTTCTATGATACCCTGTATCTTCTGAATCAGATTTTAAAAGGTTTATTCAGGATGCTTGGACTATAGCTCAGTGCTAGAACATTTGCCTAGAAGGCTCAAGGCCCTGTGTTCAATCCCTAGCACCTCAAAAAAGAAAAAAGAAAAAAAAATTACTAAGCTGGGTGCTGGTGGCTCATGCCTGTAATTCTAGCTACTCAAGAGGCTGAGATCTGAGGAATGTGGTACTAAGCCAGCCTGGGCAAGAAAGTCCATGAGGCTTGTATCTCTAATAAAATTACTTAGAAAAAGCTGGAAGTGACACTGTGGCTCAAGTGATAGAGTGCTAGCCTTGAACACAAAGAGGCTCAGGGACAACACCTAGGTCCCAGGTTCAAGCCCTAGGACCAGTCGCGCCCCCCCCCCCAATTCTCAAATTACCGTTAATCTGAATTTTATTTCACTTTATACAGTGTTTGTATTGATTTTCTAGTGTCTTCTAACAAATGTATATGTTAACTTTTGTTTTAATTAACACAAGTCTTTCTTTTCCATTGAACCCAGTAAAATTGATCGTTTCTAACTAATGGAATTGAGTTTTGGGCTTTAATTTTTTTTTTTTTTTAGTTTCTACTGAAAGCTAAATAAACTTCAGACTTCTACATGTATCTATCTATCTGTCTAACACACATTAATCAGTATATAATTTACTTCACAAAGAACATCTACTTTTTTTTTTTTTGTCTATTGTGGGGCTTGGACTCTAGGCCTAGGCGCTGTCTCCAGCTCATGGCCAGTGCTCTCCCACTTGAGCCACAGCACCACTTACAGTTTTCTGGTGGTTTATTGGAGATACAAGTCTCACGGACTTTCTTGACCAGGCTGGCCATGAACTGCAATCCTCAGATCTCAGCCTCCTGAGTAGCTAGGATTACAGGCATGAGCTACTGGTGCCTGGCTTGAACATCTACTTTTGACTACATTACAGTGTATTATGACAGAGTATTGAGTAGTAGATCCATTTATTATCCTCTATTAATAAAAATAAGATATAGTGAATATATTAGAGTTCATTAATGTGAATTTAAAATTGAAGTAAGACATTTTCTAGCAAAAACTAATTGCTTGGCAGAAAAGGTCAGATAAGGTGAAGTTAGGAAAATGAACCCTCAGATATGTATTTAAATGTTTTTTTCTTTCATGCATTTGTTTCTAACACATTTATAAGATTATTTCTTTGTTGCTTTCTATGTCCCTCCCCCACAGTATAACCCCTGCTTTCACTGTATTTGATGTCGGTATAATTTGTGGAGGGGAAGGGGAAAAACAAGTCCTTTAAATAAGGATACAAGTGGACCTGTTGCAACAATGAGAAGTACAAGTTGTCATGTCCAAAACGAACTTTACAACTTTGGTGAGGGGGGGAGGATCGGGTGGGGGGACGGGGGGAGGCTGGGAAGGGATGGGAAGGGTAAACAAAGGAGGAGGCTACAATGCTTGATAAGAAATGTACTCATTATCTTGCCCATGTAATTGTAACCCCTCTGTACAGTATTTTCACAATAAAAAATAAAAAAATAATAATTGCTTGGCTTGACAGCAAGAACTAATTTTGCCAATTAAATTTTGTTGGATGTTCACTAAATTGCACAATCAATAGTCATAACAGGAAATTCCATTGACAAATGATACATTTTAAAAGTGGATTTTAGCCGGGTGCTGGTGGCTCACAGCTGTAATCTTAGCTTACCCAGGAGGCTAAGATTTGAGGATCACAGTTCATAGCCAGCCTGGGCAGGAAAGTCTAGTGAGACTCTTATCTCCAGTAAACCACTCAGAAAACCAGAAGTGGCGCTGAGGCTCATGTGGTAGAGTGCTAACTTTGAGCTGAAGATCTGAGGGACAGCACCCAGGCCCAGAGTTCGAGCCCCATGACCACCACCACCAACAACAAAATAGTGTATTTTAATAAATAGTATGTGGGGTTTTTTTGACATGTGAATTGTAAGAAGCTCAAAGATTCAGGAGAAACTTTATTGTAACAATTCCTGTGATTTATTTAAGTGAAACTTTAGCATATCTTTAAAACAAACAGACCAGGCATGGTATGGTGGCTCCCTATGTGATCCAGCTACTTGGGAAGCAGTGATTGGGAGAATCATAGTTCAAGGCCATCCTAGGCAAAAAGTTAGTGAAACCTTGTCAGCCAGTAAGCCAAGCATGGAGGCTCATGTCTGTCTTCCCAGCTATGTAAGAGGCATAGGCATCCTGCCTAAAATAAGCAAAAAGGCTGAAGACATGACTCAAGGCCCTTGAGTTCATACCCCAATACTTCCCTTCTCACTCCCCATCCCAAAGAAAGAAAAAATAAATAACCTAGGTTAAAGTTGAGCCCTGTCTCTCCTCCCAATAAATTATATTTACCACAAGTCCATGAGAACTCTTGGGTTGAAAGGATAGACATGTTTTTGTTTTTGTTTTGGCCATTCAGGGACTCACCATTGTTAGACAGGCACTCTATAACTTGAACCATAACCTGGCCCTTTTTGCTTTAGGTATTTTTCAGATAGAATCTCACCTTTTTTGTTCAGACCAGCCTTAAGCCTTGGTCATCTAACCTACACCTCTAACATGGCTGGAGTTATTGGTGTAAAGCACTATGCTTGGCTTGTTCTTTTGAGATTGAATCTTGCTAACTTTTCTTTGTTTGGGGCCAAGACTATCTTACACCTCCAAAGTAATTAGGATTGCAGAATTATAGCCACTTCATCCAGCTACTTTGGGGTTTTTGGGGGAGGTTTCTTTTTTGAGGGGGCAGGGAGAGGGGTGCTTGGTTTGTTATTTGGTTTTGTTTTGGAGACAGATTCTCATTATGTAGCCTAAGCTGGACTTGAAAATTGAGATCTGTCTCTCAAGTAGCTGGGATTACAAGTACATGTTGACCACATGCAGCTGTTGTTTTTTTTTGTTGTTGTTGTTTGTGTGTGTGTGTGTGTGTGTGTTTAATGGGTTTTGAGAACTTAAATAATATTAAAGCTATACTAAAATGTGCCTTTTTTAAATGTTTAAGTGAAAAACTTTTAGATACTGACCTAAAAATAGTGTGGGAAGAGAATTCTAGGCTATAGGGTCTGTAGCTTTCACCACTGCTTACCCGTAAGTGTAGGTGAGCCAGCAAATACTTAAGCATATGGAGGGGCAAGACCAGCAGACTCTGGAGATTCATTCATTATGGTTTCAGCTTGTTCAGTTTATCCTTACTACATTAACATGGCAGTAGATGGAAGATCATACAAATACTCACTTTTAGAAATTCTAATAGAATTTATTATAAGTTCCTAGGGAAGAGTTCTTAATTTTCTATAGGTTACATAAAGTAACTAATACTCCTACTGGTTGCTTCCTATTTACAAGTCAAGTCTTTCTTTTTCAGTTTGAAGGAAGGAAGTACTGTGAACATGATTTTCAGATGCTCTTTGCTCCTTGCTGCCATCAGTGTGGTAAGTTTTACACTGAATGTAGACTAAAAAGTTTCTCAGTTATTTACATCATTTAGCACTGTTTGGCAAACACTCTACCACTTGAGCCTTGTCCCATTCCTCACTTAGCACTAAAAAACTCCAATGGTAGGAATGGCTTTTGATGCTTATTACAAGTGACTATTGTAGAAGTACTGTATTTGTCCTCTTCCCTATTACTAACATAATACCAAACTAGGAAGTATCAAGTCCTGAACAGAATTGACTTGTACAGAAAGGAGAGTGAAGGTTTTTAGGGAACACTTCTGTGATTGGTCTGGAGTGTTTTTCCTTTTTAAATACCCTTTGCTTGTTTATGGGCTGGCCAGGAAAAAGACAAGGAAGATCTCAGTGGGGAGGGAGAGTATAGGTGCTTTCAGCCTGCATGACTTGCTTCTGCTATAGCACTTACTAGAAGGATACTAGGGAACCTGATTAGAATGTTGTAATGGTTTAGTGAAGGAAGAAAGTAAGTATGTATTATTTTTAAAAGTGTACTGACAGTGTAGCTCAGAGGTAGAGCATACTTGAAGCCTTGGGTTCAATACCCAGTATCAAAAACTAAAAAAGAAGCCGGGCGCTGGTGGCTCAGGCCTGTAATCCTAGCTACTCAGGAGGCTGAGATCTGAGGATCGCGGTTCAAAGCCAGCCCTGGCAAGAGAGACCGTGAGACTCCTATCTCCAATAAACCACCAGAAAACCGGAAGTGGCACTGTAGCTCAAGTGGTAGAGCACTCGCCTTGAGCTGAAGAGCTGAGGGACAGCGCCCAAGCCCAGAGTTCAAGCCCCACGACCAACCAAAAAAAAAAAAAAAACTAAAAAAGAAAGTGTTCTGTAGATTTCACTTATCTGTCAGCATTGATCAGATGTTATCAAAACTCACCAAAGAGCTCACAGATCATTAAAAGGAAAGCTAGATTTGGGTGCTAAAACAGCCTGAAATCAAAACAGAACAAAAAACAAGGATTCAGATGAAATAAAGACCTTTTTTTTGGTCTTTAATTTGGAGTACCACTTTATCAAGAAAGATTTAGGTGTTCTTTTCTCTTGGTTTTAGTAAATATGTTGCCAACAGGACATCCTTTGTGTATTTCTTTCCCACAGGTGAATTCATCATTGGTCGAGTTATCAAAGCCATGAACAACAGCTGGCATCCTGAGTGCTTCCGCTGTGACCTCTGCCAAGAAGTGCTGGCAGACATTGGGTTTGTCAAGAATGCTGGCAGGTAGGAGTTGGCCATCTGTGCTGGGTGTGGGGTGGTTGAAATAATAACTTTTACAAGGTCATATGCATTTTCCCCTCAGACCCTACCATAGACCACCCTGCCTGGTGTCATGGGAAATAACCCCACAGCTTTGTGTAACTGGCAGGACTATTATCATGCCTTCTGTGTTGCCAGCAGGGACACATGCAGAGAGGAAGTTCTATGGACATCAGAGATACGGGAGGCATACTTATTAGGAAGTACTTAAGATTTTCAATTTGGACCCTCTTTAGACACCTATGTCGTCCCTGTCATAATCGTGAGAAAGCCAGAGGCCTTGGAAAATACATCTGCCAGAAATGCCATGCGATCATTGAAGAGCAGCCTCTCATCTTCAAGAATGACCCCTACCACCCAGACCACTTCAACTGTGCCAACTGCGGGTATTACACTTCTTCTTTCTTTTAGAAGCAAGCAGTGGAATGAAAATAAAAGATTCCGTTAATCCATACTTCCATTATTCCATCAAACTAAGTTGGTTTTCTCCAACTTTTAATATGGAAAAGTTTAGATCTATAGAAGGCTAAGAAAAATTATATAAGGAGCATTATATGTTTTAGTTTTACCAGCTAACGCTTTGTACATTTGAGTATATACAGCATACTCTTTCCCTTGGCAGGATGTATATTTTTGTATATACATGCACATAGTTTTAACATCTTTGTCACTGAGCAATTTGAAAGCAAGTTGTTGACATGTGACTCTTGTACACATCCTTGAGAATGAAGGGTGTTATCCTATGGAACTATATTCTCATCAGACCAAAGAAATTAACTAATTTTATGTCAGTTACTCAGCTCATATTAATTAACTGTAAATGTTCCTAAAACTGTTGTTATTATTGTTACTATTTTACAGAGTTACACAAGGGAAAACTTCATTGTTACATTTCTATATATGTTTACACAGTTTTATAATTGGTGTTGTCTTGAATTATGCTAAATTGCATTTTTTTCTATTTTGATTTTATCTGAATCAGTTTTATCTCCAAAAGGCCATATAAATTGTTAAGCCATGAATTTTCTGATTTCATTAGTTTTCTTTTCCATCACTTTCTCTTTTTCCTGCCTCAGCCACCTAAGTGCTGGAAAGATAGGTGTATGCTACCACATCTTGGTTTTGTTTGGTTTTGTTATTGTTGTTGTTCTTTTGAGGAGACCCATTATGTTGCCTACCCTGGCCTTGAACTGCATATAGAACTCAAGTGGATCCTTCTGCCTTGCACTGTCCTTTCCTTTCACCCCAACCTTCAAGTACCCAGCACTATATGTGTGAGCTATTTAGCCTGGCTTTTGGTATAAAATTTTCATGGAAAATGATTCGTTACTTTAGTTAATATGAATTTATGTGCTACATTGTACTCAGAAGGAAGGAGAGATAGTAGATTAAGGATAAAGAATGCAGTTTTCTTTTAAAAGTTCACCTTATCTTTTTTTTTTCTCCCTTGTCAGTTATTGAGGTTTGGCCCCAAGGCCTTGTACATGCTAGATTGGGTCTCTACCATTTGAGCGACATCCCCCAACCCTGGCTCTTTGCTAGTTAATTGGAGATGGAGTGAATTTTTCTGTCTGGACTGGCTTTCAACCATGTTCCTCCAAATCTCAGCCTCCTCTGTAGCTAAGAGTTATAGGCAAGAGCCACCAGTGCCCTTTCTTTTTATTGATCGAATTGTTATTTTGTGAGTAGTTTCCTTGCTTATTATTCCTTACTTTAGGATTTAGTTTCCACTTTTCATTCATATAATTTCTTTTCTTTTCTTTTCTGTCATGGGGCCTGAACTCTGGGCCTGAGTGCTGTCCCTCAGCTCTTTAGTTCAAGGCTAGCACTCTACCACTTGAGCCACAGCACCACTTCCAGCTTTTGTCTTTTTGCTTATGTGGTGCTGAGGAATCGAACCCAGGGCCTCATGCATGCAAGTACTCTACCACTGAGCCACCTTCTCTGCCCCTTTCATATCATTTCTAAGAAGACAATTTTAAGAAGTGAAATTCAAATAAGTATATTTGGTTAAATGTTTGATGGTACAAAATAATAGCTAATTTAAGCATTTAGAGAAAAAAAATTCTGAGGGGTTAAGGTGAACATCAAATGGGAGAATGTCAGTCAAGCAGGCAAACCAAGTGAGTGCAAGATGCTGAATTCAAACCCTACTTCCCAAGACAGAGTGTGAAAAGAGAAATTCTAGTAGGTAGACACAGTCAGACAGACAGACAGACAGACAAATAAGCTGGAGTCAGTGACTCATACCTGTAATCCTAGCTACTCAGGAGACTGAGATCTCATGATGGGGGTTCAAAGCCAGTCTGGGCAGCCAAATCTAAAAGGCTTTGTATCTCCAATTAATCACAGAAAAACCTGGCAGTGGATGTGTGGTTCAAGTGGTAAAGTACCAACTAAGCAAAGTACCAGCTAAGCAAAAGTACAAGACCCTGAAATGAGCCAGTAACACATACAGAAATAATTTTGAGCGTTTTTTGTTTTTTTTTTTTTTTTTGTCGGTCATGGGGCCTGAGCTCTGAGCCTGAGCCCTGTCCCTCATCTCTTCAGCTCAAGGTTAGCGCTCTACCACTTTGAGCCACAGCGCCACTTCCAGCTTTTTCTGCTTATGTGGTGCTAAAGAATCAAACCCAGGGCCTCATGCATGCAAGGCAAGCACTCTACCACTGAGCCACCTTCCCAGCCCCATTTTATTGTTTACATTCTATTAACCTAATATTATAGTAAGGTAGTTTTTTTATTCTCTACCCCTTCTACTACCTCTCTGGTATGAGAAATAGAATCCAAGACATAGTACAAACTGGCACAAGTACTGTATCACTAAGCTATTATTCCCATACCATAAGTTAGGCTCTCTATTGCTTGTTACAACTTCAATAATCGTTATGAAGCTGGTATCCAATCCCCTTTGTGTTTGGGAAGGTGGTACTTGTCCTTAGCACAGTTGATTTGCCTTTTTGTTGTTGTTTGTTTGCTTGTTTGGGGCTCTTTCAGACAGGTTCTTCTTATGTTACCCAGGCTGTTCTGAAATTCAAATTTCTCTTGTCTCAGCCTTCTGTGCACCAACGCACAGAGCTCAGCACTATGATTTAATTAATTAATTAATTAATTTCTGGTCCTGGGGCTTGAACTTAGGCCCTGGGCATTGTCCCTGAACTACTTTGTGTTCAAAGCTAGTGCTCTATCATGTAAGCCATAGTGCCATTTCTGGCCTTTTTCTGAGTAGTCTATTGGAGATAAGGGTCTCACAGACTGCCTTGCCTGGGCTGACTTTGAACCACGATCCTCAGATCTCAGCCTCCTGAGTAGCTAGCATTATAGCCAGCACCTGGCCAGCATTATAATTTATTTTTATTTTATTGTAAAAATGCTGTACATTTTTATACTACATTTATATTTATATTACATGTTATATTTATATTACATGTTATAGTTACATGAGTAAGGCAATGAGTACATTTCTTGTTGAGCATTGTTATCTCTTCCCTTGTTGTTCTCCCACTATCCCTTCCCTCCTCTACCCCCCTCATTCTTCCACTCCCTCTCCCCCCACCTGAAGCTGTAAAGTTCATTTCCAGTATACCGTCTTGTGGGTATCATTGTTGCAATGTTTTGTGGGTATGATTGTGCAATGGGTCATCCTATGTCCTTGTTTCAGCATTTTGTTATTCCCCTTGCCCTCCCCAAATTAAACAATTCTATATACAAGATGCAGGGTACCAAAATCAAGTACAGTGACAACAGGGGATATACCATAGGGGGAAGAACATACAAAGGAAACAAAAAAAATTACATAGTACATTAAAAACAACAACAACAAAGAAAGACCTCTTGTGTCCATATCTTGGGGTTCATTTTGCTTAGTATAATCTTATATGGTCAAATGTACATAGCTTTTCCTGCTCATCTGGTAAAATTATCCTAGACGTATACTAATTATTGCAAATGAGGGAAACCATGGGTTTGGCTTACTTCACTTACTATGATTTTTTCCAAGTCTTTCCATTTCCTAGCAAATGGGGTGGTATTATTCTTTCTGATGGAGGCATAGAATTACATTGTCTATATATCTGTATATACATACCACATTTTCTTGATGCATTCATCTACTAAGGGGCCTCTGGGTTGGTTCCATTTCTTAGCTCTGATGAATAATGCTGCGATAAAAACTGTTTATGGTAGCTTTAGTGTGACCTTGTTCTTGATTATTTGGGTCAGCACTGTGATTTTTAAGGAAGACAAATGGACTGAAATGTAAGTGATAATACAAGATGGAAATGATAAATATATCTGATCTCTTGTACCTTAACATTATCATTGTGGTAGCCCTCTGGAACCTATTCCAGGTGTTTAGTTCAGGTTACTCTGGTCACCTCTCATGGTGAAAAAGCAATTACTGGGGATTATTACAGCAGGATTTTTATGTTTTTGCTGATAGGAAGGAGCTGACGGCTGATGCCCGAGAGCTGAAAGGGGAGTTGTACTGCTTGCCATGCCACGATAAGATGGGAGTTCCCATTTGTGGAGCCTGCAGGCGACCCATTGAAGGACGTGTGGTAAATGCCATGGGTAAGCAGTGGCATGTGGAGGTATGTACTAAATAGCATGAATATTAGCACTTTTGAATTTCTGTGATTCATTTGTACTAGTAAAAATAAGATATTCTGAAATAAAATGTGGACATATTAAAACACTTTACAGCCACATGCCAGGGGCTCATGTCTGTAATCTTAGTTACTCAAGAGGCTGAGATCTGAGGATAGCAGTTCAGAGCCAGCTTGGATAGGAATACTGGTGAGACTCTTATCTCCAATTAACTACCAGAAAACTGGAAAGTGGTGCTGTGGCTCAAGTGGTAGAGTGCTAGCCTTGAGCTGAAGAGCTCAGGGCCAGTGCCCAGGCCCAGAGTTCAAGACCCACGATGACAATAAAAGACAAACAAAAAAATCCAATACTTTACGTTGTAGAAATTAAGAATCTAGAATATACACTCCTGTTGTGATAGGTCAATATAGTGCAGGATGTATATCCTATTCTTAAATCCTTCTTGGGGCCGGGAGCCGGTGGCTCACACCTATAATCCTAGCTACTCAGGAGGCTGAGATCTGATGATCATGGTTCAAAGCCAGCCTGGGCAGCAAAGTCTTTGAGACTCTTATCTCCAATAAACCACTAGCAAACCAGAAGTGGCTCTGTGGCTCAAGCGGTAGAGCGCTTTCCTTGAGCTGAAGAGCGCAGGGACAGCGCCCAAGCCCAGAGTTCAAGCCCTACGACTGACAAAAATCCTTCTTGGGGTTGGGTATGCTACCTCTAATTGCAGCCGCTCAAAACAGATAGCAGAATTGTGCCTCAAGGCTGGTCTGTGAGCAGAGGGATATAAATTTAATGAGACTCTATCTCAACAAATAAGCCAGGTATCGTAATCTGAGCTATGTGGGAATCAGAGGCCAAAGAATTTTGAAGCCTTAAGGATGACTTCAACAAAAAGCACAAGATTCCATCTGAAAAAAAAAAATAGCTAAAAGGGCTAGGGGTATGGCTCAAGTGGTAGAGTGTTTACCTAACAAGTACAGGGCCCCAAAGTTCAACTCAATACCACAAAAAAATTAAAAAACATTCTTTAGATAATTCTATCAAGGTCGCTACCCAGCAACAGGAACTGTTATTTTTAGTTACAGATACCATTAAGATGTTCATATCACTTTTCAAGTGGATTGTTGGAATAGGCTGCTTAACATAACCATCAAAGAAACCCGAATCAATGTAAATACCCAGGCACCAGTGGCTCATGGCCTGTTATCCTGGTTACTCAGGTGCTGAGATTTGAGGATTACAGTTTGAAGCCAGCCCAGGCAGGAAAGTCTATGTGACTCTTATCTCCAATTAACCTTAAGAAAACTGGAAGTACCACTGTGGCTCAAAGTGGTAGAATGCTAGCCTTGAGTGAAAAAGCTCAGGGACAGCACTCAGGTTCTGAGTTCAAGCCCCACGAGTGACCATAAACAAAAAATATAAACATTGTGGTGTTGGGCTGGGATGGTGGCTCAGTGGTAGAGTACTTGCCTCACATGCATGAGGCCCTGGGTTCGATTCCTCAGTACCACATAAGCAGAAAAAACTGGAAGTGGGGGGTAGGGGAGATGGGAAGAGGAAACAAAGGAGGAGGCAACAATGCTTGATAAGAAATGTACTCATTACCTTGCCCGTGTAATTGTAACTCCTCTGTATGGTATTTCACAATAAAAACAGAAAGAAAGAAAAAGCTGGAAGTGGCACTGTGGCTCAAGTGGTAGAGCGCTTGTCTTGATTTGAAGAGCTGAGGGATAGCGCCCAGGCCCAGAGTTCAGGCCTCACAACCAACCCCCCCCCCAAAAAAAAAAAAAAACATTGTGGTGTTAATCGATTTTAAAATGACCTGTATTGATTTTTTTTCTAGCATTTTGTTTGTGCCAAGTGTGAAAAACCATTTCTTGGACATCGTCATTATGAGAGGAAAGGCCTGGCTTATTGTGAAACCCACTACAACCAGGTATTGATACCAGAAACAGTCTTATGAATTAAAGCTCTTCAGCATTTTAGCTAGAAGGAAATCTTTTGGAAAATACACATTGTTTTACAAAGCTCTTATTTCTAGATTCTTATTTGAGAAATTCAGATTAAGAAAAATTGGTTATATTCATCATTTGCTTCATTCTCATGTTTGCTTTTCTGTATAAAGCAAACCCTTAAGCTAGTCTCTGGTGGCTCATGCCTATAATCCTAGCTACTCAGCAGTCTGAGACCTGAGGATCTCAGTTCAATGGCAGCCCGGGCACAAAAGTCCACAAGACTCTTATTTCCAATTAACCACCAGAAAACCAGAAGTAAAGCAGTGGCTCAAAGTGATAGAGCACTAGTCTTGAGCAAGAGTTTAGGAACAGTTCCCAGACCCTGAGTTCAAGCCCCATGACCAATTAAAAAGAAAAGAAAAGAAAAAATGCACTCTTATATGCATGGGTGAAAATGTATGTATTTGTATATATAAAAACAGATTTTTTAAGGATTAGCATTTTATGATATAGTCATCATGTTTCCTTATTCCTAAATACTACATTGTATATTCCCCAATTTTATAGAAACCTCTTAGATAATCTCAGTTATAAGTATTAATAAATTACTTCAGTCCTTGTATACTAGTTTTTTACTTGGCCCTTGTTCTTCAAGTGGTTAGTTGTTTTGGTTTGCTGTTTTTTCCTGCTATAAAACTAGAGTTGGTCTAGATTTGTTATATTTCCTTAACTTCTTCAAGTCTAAAACATTTCTAATGTTTTTCATGTTTCTAGTGTTTCCCCTGGTGCTCTTGTACTGATTCTTAACCATTGATTGAGATTGTGAGCTCTTGGTGGGAACACTGAGTGAGACTTCTGTAAATCACACTGTGCTTATTCCTGCCTGACTGTATTTACACTGTATTTGTTGACTGTATTTCCACTTTCCCTTGGATACAGCCTGTTCCTTATCACATCTGCCCTAAATTTAGTGTATGCTCTGAGTGAAAAATTACAGTTTCAGGCTTGTCACTCAGCCCTCAGCACTTTGCTTGAGCAAGAGCCTAACCACCTTTTCTACTGTAGGTCTTCATTTATCCATTTCTTACCATATGCAGTCATAAAGTCCTGTATTAGTTATTTTGTTGTGCATATTGTCATCTAGGAAGAGCTTTTAAAACAATGAATAACAAATCATTTCTATTGTAAATGGTAACAAATGGTCAATGAACTTGTACTGACTTTCTGTAGAAATGGTAAGTTTCAGATCTTGGATGACAGCTGTTTGTTTTTAAGTGCTAGAACTGGAATTACATTGAATATTGGATGTTCAAAACTTAATTCTGATTCATCTTTTACCACTTTTTTCTGTTCTCAGCTATTTGGTGATGTTTGTTTCCACTGCAACCGTGTCATAGAGGGTGATGGTAAGTATCTATAGGTTTTGGCCAAATATTTGTAGGTCTCAGCCAGGTCCATTTTGACACAAAATCACTTTGATATGAAAAAGGCTGATGTTGCTATTGTTTGGAATATAAATCACTATCATTATTCCCTCCCCCACCTTTTGCATATTTAACAGGTAATCTTAGCAGTGAATTAGAACTAAGGGATTAATGACTTCTTGATGATAGTACTTCAGGCCACAGTTTTGCTGGCCTAGCACCTGTGAGAGCTGTTCCCCATGGACCTGTTTGTATTTCCAGTTTCTGGCACAGTGTTTATTTGGAACAATTCAGTGTGCTGTGATAGTTAGAAAGTCACTTTAACTCTGCACACACTAAAGCCTGACAGTTTCTGCAAGCCTTACTGGGATTGACCACTCTTGTGTGGATATCAGGCAGGGCAGATTGACTGGATCAGAGAGGAAACAGCTGTGTTTGCTAATAGTCACCAGCACAGTCTGGCAGAGACTTCCTGACACAAGTTTTAAACAATCCTGTTTTCAACATGCTTCATAGTTATCAGCAGACATCGCTTAACTCAGGAAATACTTTATGAAACACTGTTCATATGTATTTTGTGAAATTAGCTGAGGAAAACAACTTTTAGTGTCATTGAAAATAAACCTTAACTGAGAGACTGTTGTTACCAGGTAAAGGAAGCTATCAAAGAAAGCTACTTTCTTATTGCCAACTTTGGGAGAAATGGTCCTACTTTAAATAATTTAATATGTAGATTCTAAAAACTATATACCTCAAATGTATTTCTTTAGTCAACAGTGTAAGGGACGGAAGCAACTTGATTGCTAGTCTGCCAGTCCTGTCAGCAAGGCTCATTTGTTGCTGTATTGTCTGTAGGATAGAAGTGCAGAATCTTTAATGTCACAGATTCTTAAGAAATGGAAAAAATTAATTATTAAAATGGAAAAACAATTCTCTTTTCTAATTGGACCCTACAGTCCTGGAAGACATTAGGTGCTTGATTTATGTAATTTTTTCAGTAATGTGAAAAAATCATAATAAATTAATAAAATTGAGTCAATGCTTTTTAATGGTATTGAACTCTTAGTTATGTGGTTCTTTTGTAAGAAAAGAACGCCTGAAGAGGTGTTTGTTTTTTGTTGGGGTGTGTGTGTGTGTGTGTGTGTGTGTGTGTGTGTGTGTGTGTGTGTGTGTGTGTGTGTGTGTGTGTGTGTAGCATTGGGGTTTAAGCTTGGCTTCATCTTTGCTGTACAGGCACAACAGAGAATCACGGGAACAACCACCCCATCCCCAGCCAAGAAAGGTTCTTGGGAACCTCCTGCAGTAGCTAGGGGGCAGCCTTCTTCCTGTTTCAGGATTTAAAGTAAAACTTCCTCTGCTCAGCAGTGTCTGTACTTTCATATGACCAGTGCATGTTCTCTCCCTTTCTCTCCTAGTTGTCTCTGCCCTCAACAAGGCCTGGTGTGTGAGCTGCTTTGCCTGTTCCACCTGCAACACCAAACTAACACTCAAGTAAGTCGTCTGTCTGATACAGTGACTCCAAGGCGAGAAACATTCCTAATTTAAAAGAGAGTTAATTTTATTTCTTATTTCTTTCACTTACTTGTTTCACTTCTGGTAGTAAAGGTTTCCCCTTTAACCTGTTCCCTGTTGTTTGTTCTCTTCCTTCTTTGTTCACTCAAAGGGATAAGTTTGTTGAAATTGATCTAAAACCAGTCTGCAAACACTGTTACGAGAAAATGCCAGAAGAATTTAAGAGGCGACTTGCCAAACGGGAGAGAGAAGCAAAGGATAAGGACAAGCAGAAAAAGAAAAAGCCAGTCTGTTTGTAAACTTTTCTATCTCTTCTATCATCATTTTCACTACTTTCTTCTTTGGTTAGTCCTTTAGAATTTTTTTCTGTCTTGCTTTTGTTTGTTTCTTTTATTTGGCATGCTTTTCTGGCCATCAGAGATTGAAATAGTCCTGTGCAGTTGGTCCTTTTGCTTAATTATTAAAATTGTAAATCTTAGTTACACACTTCACACTACCTTTTGGGCACATGTCTCCCTTCATCTATGAACTAACCTCTTCTTCTAAATCATATAGTAGCAGACAGTTTCTCTTAAGAAGATTCCCAATCTCTTAACTGACAGTGTTTGCAAACGTTTTAAAATATATATTTTTTGTATGTATATGCTGGTTCTGGAGATTGAACTTGGGACTTGGGCACTGCCCCTCAGCTTTTGTGCTCAAGACTAGCACTCTACTACTTGGGGCATAGCCCCACTTCCAGCTTTTTGGTGCTTAATAGGAGATAAAAGTCTCGTGGAATTGACTGACTAGGCTGGCTTTCATCTAATCTCCTTAGATCTTACCTTCTTGGGTAAGCTAGGATTAGAGGCCCAGTTACTTTAAATTTTGTCTAATAACTGCAGCATTCAAAAAAAATCCCAGTCTTTGGTTTCTTTGTCTAAAATCACTTGAGAAGTTTCATGTTTGATATGTTTAAAACAGCATGTGTTATAAGCTCTGTGTTTAATTCTGTCAGCATGTCTTGTTTACATAACAAGGTACATAGGTGGTGTGGTTTATCATGTCTGTGTACTGTGTGTGTGTACACAATCTCATTTAGTGCCATAGGATACTGGTTGTGAAATCATTTTCCTCCTATTTTCAGACTATATCTGACTGTTACAGGAAATATTTCAGTCTTTCACATTCTGTTGAATTACTAGCATGGTTCTTTCATTTTTCCTTCCATGTTATCATTGTGTTTCAAGTTCTAAGAACCTTTCAATTTCTGTGTTTCCTTTTGTAGAGGAATTAAAAGGCAAATTGAAACTTAAGACAATAGAACAGATACTAAGTGCTCTCTGTAAAAACAGATAATTTATTAAACTCTTGAGAAGCATTTGATTTGCCAGTTGGAATGTAACATTTGAGTTACCATAAGCTTCTCTATGAAAACATGTCACCATTAATTTCTCTGTGAAAAACAATAGAAAATAACTCTCTGTACAGTACTCTAAAGACAGAAATGTTTTTGTTTTCATTCATAATTGTGTGGTTAGGAATTAACTTTGTTAGTAACATTGCTCTTTAAAATTACCTCAAAACATGTAGTCTAATTTACTATACTTTAAGAATGCATTAAAGCTTATTTTGAAATTATCATCATAGATGACATTGAGCTACTAGATATGCTCTGCAAATGGTTCCTAAATATATCACAGGAAATGAGTTATAACTCTATAAAAAAGTTAAGTATTTACTCAACTCAAAAATTAAATACCCAGAATTTTAGTAGCAATAAGCCTCTGTATTATTAAGAAATGTGTTAGTGATGGAAGGCAGACCATCTGAAAAGTCATTTTCTCTAGTCATTTTCTGTTTACAATCAGATTACTAGTATGTTTTGTTCTAGGTCTAAAAAAATAGAATGAATTCTTCATATAACTACAAGTTACAGAACACCTGCAGGTAGTTTCTTTTGAAGAACTTATAAATGTAAGAACTTACTTTATTAGGAAATAAAAGCAAAAAAGTCATAAAAGTTTAAGATACTAATCATTCTGCCTCCAATTAATATTACAAAAACCAATTGTTTGCTTTAAGGAAATTTATTCTTTAAGGTATTCTTATGGTATTTTAAAATGTAATTGACTTTACAGCAATAGACTTATTAGATTTCCTGTTTACTTAGCATTGAATAAAACACAATACTGTTTTTCAGATTACTGCAAAGGAACAATTCAGAAGACTACTTTTTTTCTGCTGACACTCTGCATTTTCACATTTACCAGAATAAGGATTGAGATTAGAATTATAATTCTTCAGTAACATAAAAATAGAATTATTATGTCTTCATTTAGTTCAATGAAATTGCTTCATATTACTTATATGTCTGTGTTGAATACATTTCTAATGATTTGTTTTATATATATTTGTTTTCCTTAGGAATAAATTTGTGGAGTTTGACATGAAGCCAGTCTGTAAGAAGTGTTATGAGAAATTTCCATTGGAGCTGAAGAAAAGACTTAAGAAACTAGCTGAGACCTTAGGAAGGAAATAATGTAACTTTTATTTGTGTTCTATGCAAAAATAATAGATAATCGATATTACTTGACTTGATCCACCTGTATTTAAAGCTGTATCTCTAAGCGATTGAGAGGGAAGAATGGTTTTCTTCATCTCATTAAACAGAAAAAAATGTATAATCATATTTAAAACACAGATGAAATCAAGACTTGCCTTTGTTTCCCAATATCAATGTAGACTATATAGAAAAAGTATGATTAAATGTTGAATTTTAATTTCACCCCTAAAATGAAGTATATAACTTTTCAAAATTAAAGAGTCACTTGTGTATGACTCAGATTTAAAAACAAAAAATAAGATTATTTTACTTTATTCAAAAGAAAATTACCTCCCAGTGCTCTTAGAGATGATATAAGGAAGAAAACTAATCAAATCATGCATAATCTTAGTATGTCTATCAAATTAATAGTTATAAAATGCATATACACATTGCTAGGACAAGAAACAAGTATATTCAGAACTATTTTATATTGTGTTAAATGCAATAATTATTTTGCTTAGTTTTTATTTTGTTCTCCTTGTAAACTTCTTTCTTTGCACAATTACTTGTAACACAGTAATTGTAACTAGCAAGTGTATCTTTTAAATTTCCATGCAAAAACATACCAAGTAGGGTCTGGGAAGGTGGCTCAGTGGTAGAGTGCTTGCCTTGCATGAATGAGACCCTGGGTTTGATTCCTCAGAACCACATAAGTAGAAAATGCCAGAAGTGGCTCAAGTGGTAGCCCACTAGACTTGAGCTGAAGAGCTGAGGGACAGTGCCCAGGCCCAGAGTTCATGCCCCACGACTGACAAAATAAAAACAAAACATACCAGATATTTGAAAATAGAGCATACTTTGCAATATTGGAAGAATGAAGTATTTTTTAATGTAATACAGCAATTATGCTTCTAAGCTTGATGTCAAACATAATATTCAAATAAGAAATGGAATTAAGTATTATGTAGCTAGGAATGTATCATTTTTAAAAAGGATGAATATGTATTGATCATACTGACTTTATAACCATGCTAATATCTATGCTTCATATATAGTCAAACTTTCCTTGCCTTAGACAAACACATACCACAATCTGAAATTCTGGTTTCACATAATACCAACTAAAAATAAGTGCATTGACTGAGTTTTTATGTGGGACCCATTGATGATTCTTGTCTTCTTATTAAAGGAGAGCAGCTTTGAGGTTTTCTATTTCAAATTTCATAACTAATTGGATTTTATTTACTATCAGTAGAAAATCTAAATGATACTTTTAAATTGGAAGGTAGTTGTTTTAATATTAACTTTAGATCCACATTAGTGGTTTTATTTCTTTTTGATGGAGCTGGGTATGCTAGACAGGTGCTCTACCACTGAGGTATATCCCCAAGTACATGTTACTTTCTTTTGTGTGTGTGAGGTACTGAGGCTTGAATTCAGGCCTTGGGCACTGTTCCTTAGCTTTATTGCTTAAGGCTGAAGTTCTACCATTTGACTGACACCTCTACTTCTGGCTATTTTTTTGTAGTTAGTTGGGGATAGGAGTCTCACAGACTTTCCTGACTGAGCTGACTTTTACCTAACCATGGCCTTTAGATCTTAGCTTCCTACATTGCTAGGATTATAGGTTTCAGCTACCTGTGCCTGGCTTCACGTTATTACTCTTATTTTATAAAAAGTTTTATCCTAAAATATCTGGGCTATTCTTCCTCTATAAACTTGTTATACCATGCTTTATGAACATTTCTAAGTGTTGCTGCTAGTAAATTAATCACTTAAAAATTTTCAAGATACATTACTAAGTGGAATATTATTTTTTTAACAGTTGCTGACATATACTATTTTGCCATAAAGAATATCTCAGGATGCTACTACTCTGCCATTAAATATCTATATGCATGAATTGTTAAAAATTTTAATCATGCATATTACAGTGTTTCTGTTTTCAGCCAATTACTTTATTTTTTTAGTATTCTCTTGGAGTTAAAAAAATTTCCCTAAAAAGTATGTAGTTTAAGATTGTATGTGGCCATAGTTTAAAACACTTTTTTAAATTCTGATTTGATAATTAATTTAAAAAATGTGTTCAGTGTGCCTTTGTCAGCTAATAATGACCAGCAATGAAAACCTTGAAAATATTTATTAAAAGTTGTACTATGCATGTAGTAAAAATAGGACAGAGTTTGTAGTTTAGAGTCTTGATGCTAAATTCTACATACTCCCATATTAGAAATATGGAACAGAAAAGCAAGCCATTTTAAATAATCCTAATCATTTAAGAGAGTTAGGGACTGGATTTGACTGCCTCTGTTTACATGTCATACATAATCAGTTATCTCATACAGCTAGAGGTCCCACTGCTATCTTTGCTCAATCTTCTCTTAAAATATGAAATAATATTCCCTAGAAGGTTAGCTCATTAGGTCTCTAACATACTAGAGTACATGAATCTAGACACAGTATTTATTTCCTTGATAGGGTATCATTGGAGCCCTTACATGTAAGGGAAGAGGAAGAAACTTAACAGGTTTAAGTAATAAGTGACAGAAATGGTCTAGTTCATAACATTTTTCATGGGATTTCTCTAGCTACTGAGAAACTCAAGCCCAATAAGCATTTTGTTTAAATACAGGACCATCTAAAATAATTCCTTCTTCTTAACTAAATTCCTAAGTGCTCTTGTTTCTTAGTAAGCCTAATATAACCAGGAAAAGTAGATTATGTGCAAAGCCTTCTTAACACTGTACCTGAAATAAAAGGCTATTTTGCCTCATCTGTTTGTCAGTATAGCCGTTTTTAAGTTAAGGAAATTTTTGTGGTAGACTTACCACATTCTTGCATTTTATTTTAGATTGTAAGCTTAATGGCAGGGAACTGTATCAATAATTACATATTTTTATGTTAGCAATTATTACATTATACTCCTGGTGCTTAATAAATGTTCATAATTATTAACAAGCTGTTGAACCTCATTTCATTTTGAGCAATACATGAAGATACAAATATTCGTGCAATATAATGTATGAAACTTTTATGTATATGAATAAAAGAAAATGGCTTGGCTACTGTGTATAAGCTAGGTCTTAACCATACAGAATGGTGGTGGAATCTTGCTGCTGTTGAATGTAAATGCTGGTGTGTATGACTCTTCACATGGGATATATATATATCTTAATACACAGTCTAGCCAGCCCTGAGCCATTGGGAACAATGAGTTGAGGGTTTGCTCATTGCCAGGACACTTTTATTCCTATGCTTAGTCCTCCTCTGTCTTTTTACCTACCTAAAACTCCCTACATGTAGAGATTCATGGGGCTCTGTCTCAGTTGTCTTGTCTTTTCCCTCTGAGGAGGTGAGACAGGCCATTACACCTCTTTGTGGAAGATACCAGGATGGATTAAGTACAATAACGGTACCTACAGGAGCCAGGGAGACTCCCTAGAGAAGCTGGATAGTATAAAGAATAGAAGCCAGCCCGACAGGGAAGGCAATTGGTGGTAGGCCTCTTATGTCCTCTTCTATTTTCTCAACCACTATCTATACAGGCTCTAAAATTGATAACAAGTTGATGTCCTCCACTGTAACCTCCAACTGATCTCACATCTCATATTTCAAAACCTTTCCTCTGCTCCTGTCTAGCAATACCTTTCTCTACAGGCCATCCTCCTCACTCCACAATAAGTCCTCAGCTCACTCCCTGCTTGGCTCATGGAGACAAGCAAGATGAAGACCCACTCTCTCTCCGCAGGCAGGCCCCAACCTGTTGTGGGGTCTGCTTTCTTCAATGTCCAGTGGCATATCAGACACAGCTGACTTCTGGTTATAAATGTACCCTTCTGAGACTCAGCTCAAAAGCCATCCTATTGATGAATTCTATCCCAGCTTACTCAAGCTGAATGTACTTCTGTCTCAGTGGTCATGATGTACATTGACAATCCTGACTTATGTTCTGCCAGAAAACTGACTGCTTTGGAGAAAATGTTTTCATCTGTGTCTCCTGTCATCTGAGGGATTGTTAAGTGAGTAAGTGAGCAGTTTCAAAAAGTGGTTAGTGTTGGGGCTGCGAATGTGGCTCAGTGGTAGACGCTTGCCTTGCATGCATGAGGCCCTGGGTTCAATTCCTCAGCACCCCATAAGCAAAAAGAAAAAAAGAAAAAAACAGAAGTGGCACTGTGGCTCAAGTGGTAGAGCGCTAGCCTTGAACTGAAGAGCTGAGGGACAGTGCCCAGGCCCACAGTTCAGGCCCCATGACCAGATCCCCCCCCAAAAAAAAGTGGTGTGTGTGTGTGTGTCCCCTCATCCTTGAACTCAGGACCTGGGTGCTGTTTCTAAGCTTTTAAGCTGAAGGCTAGCACTCTTACCACTTGAGCCACAGCTCCACTTCTGAAAAATTTTGGTGCTTAATTGGAGATGAGTCTCCCTGACTTTCTTGCACAGGCTGTCTTTGAACTGTGGTCCTCAGATCCCAGACTTCTGTGTAGCTAGGATTACAGATGAGCCACCTGCACAAGCTAGTTGTTAGAATTTTTAAAGGCAAAAACCTAAGCCAGGCATAATGTAGTAATTCAGTACTGCCAAAATAAATGCATATAAAATTTCATATACTAAGATTTTATATTTGCACTTAGAAAAATCTCTTAGGCATTGTTTATTATTCACTCTGAATTGATACATAATTTTAACAAGCTTACTGAGTTACCTATAACTGATACACTACAGAAAATTAGAAGTGAGAAAGTAGATTAAAGGTAAAGAAACATCTATGGTCAACTGTCAGTCACTGAATAGCAGCCCAGTGCTAGTGGCTCATACCTGTAATCATGACTCCCTAGGAGGCTCGGATCTGAGGGACAGTGGTTCCAGACCAGCCAAGGCAGAAAAGTCCATGAGACTCTACATCCCAAATAGTCCAAAGCAAGGCTATAGATGTAGCTCAAGTGGTACAGAGCCAGATAAGCAAGTCTGAGGCCCTGAATTAAAGCCCAGTACCACAAAGCACACACATACATGTACACACACAACAAGTATAAACTATAAACCCGCAGTCCCTGGGAAGCTCACAATTTACCAAAGGCCATAAAAAGTGTACCAGATGTTTGCAACTATGAAAACTAACCAAGGAAACCTATTGAAATTATATTGAGAAAATACAGCAATAGAAGATGAGATTGATTTGAATATATTGTTAAGATGTGGAAGTATAATTACTCTACAATTAATGTAAACTTTTTCAAAAGTACACCAGAATGTGCAGAGTGATAGAAATATCAATAAGATATAGACAATGCTAGCTGGGTATTTGAAAGACTCAGCTTTCCAGATTTGGCAAGGGTGGTGGGGGTTGCAGGCGGGGGCAGGGCGGGGGGGAGGGGATTCTATGTTAATACAACAACCTGTAAGAAGAGCAAGAAGAGCCTGGTGTGATCTGAGAAGGAAGAGAATTTCCATTCAGTGAGGGAGCGGTAAGATGAGATACTATGAACCTATTCTGAGAAATTCTTAGTATAGTATCTGACATATTAAAGGTAGACTATAAATACCTGCTTGGGTAACTGACAGAGATTGATCTGCTTTGAGGATAATGGTAATAGTGCCCTGGAGAGCCATGACCAGACCCTAGGTAATAGTGGTTTCACCCATCATGTCCCTAGAAGCTTAGCCTCTCAAGGATTTTAGCTTGCCATTTCAGCCACA